GAAAAAAAAATGAGTAATCTGCAATGAACGTAGTGTGAGTGGATGAGGCGCAAGCAGACTTGAAAAAGGCAGCACAGGTTTCCTTGGTTTCCGCTTTCGAGGTTGCTTATGAGCAAGCTGATGGCTCTAATACAAATTGCCATGCATAGTGACTGCCAAGATCCAGTTGTGGTGCTGAAATGGAATACGTACGAACTATTAGGTCCAAATATCCCTGTTCTTCTAATTTTTTTAATATAATTTTATATATCATTATCAGTATTGTTGTCATTTCTTCAAAAGTTGCCGTATATAAATTGAACACAGAATGAGGGCTAACTAGAGGCATACGCTGCGCCTTGTGTGTAGGAGTATCCATCCGATATCACTGCATTGAGCGTGCAAGCAGCCTTGGCTTATTCTTTTTTTCGCATCTGAAATTGAGAATTTTTTTGAGTTCTTAATTTTGCAGGCATTTCTGGACGCGATTTGTGCTCATCCAATTTTGTATGCAAGCCCCATGGTTGCCAATTTTCTTGGAAGCTTCACTGAAACATACATCGGTATTTATTCCACTTCAGCGTATTTTCTCGATATTAATGAAAGTGACAGACCCAGCATGGTTGCTGCCAGTGAAGCTAAATCATTTGTTGTTTAGTCTGTCGTTCGTTTCCCTGGCTTTTTTTCATCTTTTTTTGGGTCCCACATAATTCCACGTAGTCGTTCAAACGGGTCTTTTCACTCTATGATAATGTGGAATTGTCTGTACAAAATGTTTTTTTTTTTGCAAAATATTTCCATTGATTTTCTGCCTTGCTTTTAGCTTTTGAATACTGAAATTTCTTTTTTAAATAATATTTTTTTAGATTTGCATGAATGGATTTTGTTGTCGTTCCGCGATAAGCGTGACTGGGCTCTCGAGCAACAACGGAAACAGTGTGGTTGGCGCGCTGGAAAAGTGCATTATGAAGTTCGAAGTGGTCGCTCGAGGCTCCTGCTTTCTGGCATTCGTTACGGGCCCGATCGTTTCGGCTCCCCGGCCGAGCTGAACACTGCGCTTGAGTTTCTGCACAGCTTGCAGTGCCCGTATTTGAATGAAAGTGTTGCAAGCTGGGCTACTGATGCTGGAATCCTGTATGTAAGGCCAATCTTTAAAAATGGGACATTGCGCGATCAGCTGTACAAGGTATGCTTTACTGAATGTTGATTTATTTCGGCTAAATTTCATTTCTCTTTCTGCCGGAACAGTCGATGCGGGGATCTCATATAACTGCAGCTGCTAGGCTCTTCAGTTCTGATGCGCATGCCTCCGACTAGTGTAGCCACGTGTCCGATATATGTATTACTCTTCGGAAACCACATGAGCGGTCGTTTGTGCTTCGATGTCACCATTTGCTTACGGCAAAACAAGCAGCATATCTCAACTATGTGCAAGATCGAGACGGTACCTTGAAATCTTTTTATTTAGTGGAGCACCTGGTTTTTTTTTACATGAATTTCGCGTATTTTTTACAATCAAATTGCTTCTACACAATCCCTGGGAAAGTAGGCCTCAGGCAGCGTAGATTTTTGGCTTCTGAGTTAGTGACTTTCGTGCCAAAACGTTCAAAATTGTGAGACCTAAGCAAACGGGAGCTGATCTCGAATTTATAAAGTCTTGCATAACCAGAAAACATTCTCCTGGAACCTCAAATTCCTGGCTGTTCCAGCCCCCAAGTTGGCAAGATTTCCCCGCCAAGACTCACGTGGCCGTGCATGAGACCTCGGCGCAACTGGAAGCTGAATTTGAATGTGCGGAGGCGTACGTGGACACAGGGACATTCTCCTAAAATTTCAGCGCCCTAGCTTCGATATTTCTTGAATTGAAAATGCGCGACAAACCGCATAATAAATGAGCGCAGAAAACAGATCAAAAAAAAAAAAAAGATGAGAGAACACCTAAAAATTGCGATTTTTCAGAGTGACTGGAAGAGTGATTTCTACTCGAAGTACAGCATGGATCGTTCAGTGTACTCGTTTGAGATATCTGATGTTCGCCTTGTTTGTCGACAGTTGCTTGAAGCTTTAACTTTGCTCAATGCACTTTCAAT